TGTGTGTGTGTGTGTGTGTGTGTGTGTGTGTGTGTGTGTGTGTGCAGGGGATGGGAAAGATGCGCCCCCCCACACCCGCGAGCAAACCTCTTGTACACAACAACCTCGCTATGTAGGACAAGCCCCCACGAGCACCCCCCCCTCCCCCGCTCCAACCAGCCTTGCAACGGATCTGCAAACACGGACAGCCGCGGGGACGGAGGGGGGGGAAGGTTGATCGGGCGGCCGGCCGACGAACCAGGCGCAGCTGGTTTCGCCCGAAACTCGGGAGTTTCGCCCGCGGTTTCGCGCGGTAGGGAGAAGGAGCGAGAAAGGGAAGCGGGCGCTGCGCTGCAAAAATATCTCCTTTTGAGGGTATCTCGGTCCGGCAAGAAGCGACCTTCTCTTTGGGAGAGTTTTTTTTTTCTTTTTTTTTTACCCCGTTGGAACTCCCTGCCACTGGACTCGCCTGCCTGTTGCCCAGCCTGGCAGCCAGTGGGGTCAGATTTCTGCAGGGAGGGGGGGGGCGCGGCGGAGGTTTAATAATTTATTTACAGCCTTATTGGCAGGGAAGCAACTGGGTGGGTGGGTGAGTGAGTGGGTGGTGCCCCTTAGAAGCTGGTATTTTTCACATTTCCCCCCCCCCCAAAAAAAATTATCTCGCCAAAGACCCGCCTGAATGACAACCAGATTGAATCCAGACATCTGCTTCGGCTTTCCCCCCCCCCCTTTTGTTCTGGGGGTGCAGGAACTGAATCATTACCCAGAAACAATCTGCCACGGGGGGGGGGGGGGGAATGGGAGGGGGCGGCGAAAGAGGGAGGGGGGAATCCCCCCCAATCACATATGGCACCTGGGGGTGGGAGTTTTTCTGCGCTGAGCTGCAACCACGGAGTGTGTCTATTGTGCTGGTCTTCTCTTCCCTGCCCTTCTCTCCCACCCGACCCGACCCTCCGTCTCCCCCCCCTCCAGATGTGTCTGTAAGCCCAGGAAGCGGAGTGGAGACAGGGAGGGGGGGCAGGGGGGAAAACAAACCCCCACCAGGCTTCCTAAAAATAAGGTAGGCCGAAGCAGGCAAGACTGGGACAAGGAGGCTTGGGGGGGCCTAAAACCGGCCATTCTGGTTCTTGCGTCAGCTGGACTCCAGAGAAGGGCCTGGAATGGGTGCGAAGTAAGGGAAGCCCCTCTCAGGAGGTCTGAACGTGGAACTGGCCTGGCGACAAGAGAGTCACGGCACGGAGGGGCTGTTTCCGGGGCTGGAGGTGGTCTGGGTTCAGAGAAAGCCCCTCTGGAAATCTTCCCCAGGCCCATCTCTCTCTCATCCGTCTGTCCATCCATCCGTCCCTATCTATGTACCTATCTATCATCTCTCTCTCATCCATCTATATCTATCTATGTATCCATCCATATCTATCTATCTATCTATCTATCTATCTATCTATCTATCTATCTATCTAT